TTGTTAGTGGCTATTGCAGGTGAGCAGCTTTTCACATAAGTGCAAATAATTAGCTCTCTGATGGACTCTTTGGTGAAATGTCTGTTCTGCCTGTTTTTTAGCTTGATTATTTGGGTTTTTTAAACCTGAAAATACAGCTATATAGATACAAACTTTGGAAATATATTCTCCCAGCCTTCTGTAGTTGTTTGTTTGTTTTTCCTGCTCCTTCATCATCTTGGTAGTTTCTCACAGAGCTCAGATTAGTAATTTTGACAAGAAACAATGTACTCAATTTTCTTTTTATGGACACATTGTAATTTCAAGGCCAACCTGGACTACACAGTGACAGCCTGTTTTTAGTATCAAGTTTAAGAAGTCTTCCCTAGGCATAAGTCCTAAAGATTTTCTCCTCTGTTTTTGTCTAAGTTCTAGTTTTATATTTTACATTTTACTGTGAACCATTTATATCAACTTTCGTATAGGCGAGATTTATGCCTAGGTATTTTTTGTTTTGTTTTGTTTTTATGTTAGTGGAAATCAAGCCCAGGGCCTTCACACACTGAGCTCCATCCCCAACCTCTTTTTTTTAATTTTAATTTTAAGACAGGGTCTTGTCAACTCACTTAGTTACCTAGGCTAGAGTCAAACTTGGGATCCTCCTGTCTCAGCCTCCCAGAGTGAGGGGTTCACAGGAGTGCGCCGGGCTTTTTTGATTGCTTTTTTGATACAGGCTGTCACTGTGTAGTCCAGGTTGGCCTTGAAATTACAATGTGTCCAGAATGGCCCTAAAACATCATCCTCCCTGTACCTCCCCAGTCCTGACATTGCAGCTGTTCCCATCATGCCTGGCTTCTTCTGGTTTTTAATCATGGTGCCCAGTGGCTCTAGCAAGGCAATCTCTGTCCCTCAACATCGCTCTGGCACCTTGGTCAGATCAGCCAGGCCCACTTGCGTGGCTCTGTTTCTGGGTTGCCAGTCTGTCCCACTGATCTGTGCTCTGTGATCCCTGTGCCACCCCACACTGACTTGGTTATGGTACTGAGCCTCCACACTGGGTGTAGTTCCTCCTTCCCTATGCTGTGGAAATGGTCTCTTTCTAGAGGTCAGGAGTCAGGTAGCTGTAGGCCTTGCAGACGGCATCATGGCAGCCTTGGTGAAGTTGCCAGAGTGGCCCAGAGAAGCACAGGAGTCACCAGACTTGGACAGAGGGACTGAGATGAGACGATGCCAGTGCGTCAGGGCAGGGACAGAGTGGTGCTTGACAGTCTTGTTCCCGTCACCTCTCTGCACAGGGACCATGGAAAGCTTGGCCAGCATGGGGGCCCTCGGATGGCAGGGGCTTCCTCCATGGGCATCTTACGCCCAGACTGCCATGACTGTCGTAGTCCCCACGGTGACTAATGTCTTCCTCCTGGTCCCCTGCCCAGTATGAGGTGTTTCCACGTCGGCAGCATCTTCAGAACTTTTTCCCGAGAAGTCGTTCACCTCCGACTCCTTTTGGGCAAGGAGAAGAGCTCCAGGCACTCCATCTTCATGACCTTCACCAGCCCACCAGCTTGGTGACAGGATCCACGCCTTGCCTCCGCCTTGAGACTGAGGCCTCCCATGCCTGGGCCCCTGCGCCTCCAGGCTGTCCAGCTGCACCCTCGGCAGCCAGCATGAGGAACAAGGTCCAAAGGCCTTCATGGGGGTAGGGTAGCGAGCAAGCCGGGCTAAGGACCCCCCAAGGCCTTGCTTCCCTGTCTTCCTCCACAGCTCTCTGGGCCGAGAACACGGCTCCCAGGAAATTCTCCTGAAGCCGGGCCGCTGTGGGAGGGGGCTTCAGACCCGACCTGCACCTCTCCAGGCCTTCGAGAATGCTGACTTAGCATCTACAGACACCACGGCTGCCCTGTGAGGCGGGGCCAGTGAGAGGCCAGAGCTGCGGGTGGTAAAAAGAATTCACCACCAGTCAAGGATCATGGAAATTCCGTTATTGATACACTGCTAGAGGGCAGCGGGCGAGCCAGCCCACAGAGGACCTCACCATCAGGGTGAAGGCTGCGATTTTTATATTTGATTTTAACCAGAGGAAGGTTCTGGAAACGTCATCCCAGGGGTGCGTTCCTCAGGTCACGGTGGCTCCATTGTCCGTGTCAGCTCTGAGGACAGCCAGTTGTCTGAAGGCTGAGTCACGTGTGTCCCATGGGCCACAGTGCTCTTGTCATTGCTACAAACCATCCTGCTGGGTGAAATCATTTGATAAATCTGTAAAGAGTGACTAATGTCAGTGGTCAAGGGGATCAGAGTAAAAAGATTTGTGTTTGGACTTGAAAGGGACTTTTGGCATTATCTTGGGATGGGGAAGAAATGCTACCCCCGAAGACATGAGACGCGGTTGGACCCTGAGTGTGGTATGCCTAGTTCTGATAGCTCACAAGGTGGAAAGTTGATGTTCGACTGGGCTGGAGATGTAGCTCAGCGGTTCCACCACCTGCCTCACAAGCACAAGGTCCCGAGTTCGATCCCTACTACCGAAAAGGGAGTTAATATTCGACTACAGACTCACCTCTCTGCCGCAGTGCGGCCGGCCGTTCAAGAACAATGGCGGAATAGCCATGGCTCCCCCAATAAGGGACTGAGACAGGAAGGGCAGCCAGCCCAGCCTTTGGGCTCAGAAAGACTCTGGTTCAAGTTCTGCCCTTCCTGGCCGTATGACCCCGAGGAAGTGAATTAACCTGTCTGAATCTCACTGCCCCGTGTGGGAAGCAGAGCGTTTGTTTCGTCCCATTGTGTGAAGGTTGAGTGCCCTGCTCAGGGCCTCTCTCTACCCGGTGAGTGGGGCACAGGTGACTAGGTCTTCTCCTGAAGGTCTTAGCAAAGAAGTGGATCTGAATGTGTGCCAGAGCATCTCCTGCCTCTAGAAAGGAAAAGCAACTCTCAGGCCCGTTTGCCCAGACCTACAGAATCAGAAACTCCGGGCTGGCTTCAGCCATCTGTTTGAACAAGGCTGCTGAAATTCCTGAACCACTGCCACACGGAATGGGATGTGGATTGTCCTTGTTCTGAGCCTGAGGACCTGGAGCTCATTAAAAATACAGATTCCTGCTGGGTGAGGTGGCCCTCACCTGTTATCCCAGCAGTCTTCCTGCCTGAGGTGGAAGGGACTGCAAGGTTGAATCCAGCCTGTACAATTTTTCTGACTTATTCAGACCCTGTCTCCAGAAAAAAAGGAAAAAAGGAAATAAAAAGACTCAGTATGTAATTCAGGTACAAAGTCGCTGTGTTCAAACTGCCCCCCCCTTTCCTTGAAACAGGGTCTCACTATGTTGCCCGTGCTGACCTTGAACTGGAGATATTCCTCCCTCAGCCTCTGGAGTAGCTGGAATTACAGGCATGTGCCACCAAACCAAGGCTAAATATTAAAACAATAAATAACATTTTAAAGGGCTGGAGATGCAGTCCAGTGGTAGAGCACCTGCCTAGCATGCAGGACCCCAAGTTCCAGCTCACTGAGGTTGCGTTTCCTCAACCCCATTTCCAGATCAGTAGAATGTGGCTTCCAGAGGTCCAATAACTCCACCAAGGCCCCAAGTGCGAGATGTGGGGCACAGCTCGGAAGCATCCCAAGCCCTTGCCACTGACCCCTGCTTTTCCCCATCAGATGGCAGCAAAGGGCTCTGAGGAAGGAGCACAGTTTCCAGTTTTCTAAGACATCCCAGTCCCCAAGGGCACCTTCCCACACTTCCTGCTCCTCTCCCTGGCAGTCTGGGTCCTGATTCCTCATCACCTGGCTTTCCCAAGGGCACCTTCCCACACTTCCTGCTCCTCTCCCTGGCAGTCTGGGTCCTGATTCCTCATTTCACCTGGCTTCCTGTGGGGATCAAGGAGCCCTTCAAAAAGCCTGGCCCAGGGAATGCCCCTGAAGAGGTGATATCACCTCCCAAGCTTCTACGAAGTCCAGTTTATTACATTTTTTTCTCTGCTTTTTGTGCAATAGTGAGGATTGAAATCGGGACCTTCACACACATCTATATCCCCATGCTCTTATTATATTTTAATTTTGAGGCAGGGTCTAGTAAATCCCTAAGTTGCCCAAGTTGGGCTCGAACTTGGAATCCTCTTGCCTCTGTCCCGGAGAGCTGGGATTGCAGGCCTGTGCCACCATGCTCAGACTCCCAGCCTCCCTGTCCCCTCTCCTCCTCCTGACCTGTCTTGTTTGGCCACAAGAGGCCTGGAAGAGAAGGACCACATGGTGGTCACTGACCAGGACTCTCCCCTCAGCACCTTGAGGCCCAGGCAGTGTGTGAAACTCACTCAGCAGGTCATCGTTTTCCAGATTCGCTTAACAAATTTGAAGAACTTCATGACCTGGCCATGGCTCCAGAGCCAGTGGCTGCCAGCAGGGGGGCTCGCAAGCACAAAATGGGTACAAAGTCCAGGGGGAAGCGACCTCAGCACCTCGTCCCAGGCCCCTGGTCCCCTCCTTGGGACAGGAGAGGAGTCCCAGAGGGTGTGAACCCCAGGTGAGGGAGAGA